CACCTGGTTCTCTCCCGGCTCGGGGAGGGGAGGGGAGTGGGGGGCTGGGAGACAGGATGCCTGGGTTCTCTCCCGGCTCGGGGAGGGGAGGGGAGTGGGGGGCTGGCAGCAGCCTGGACGCCTGGGTTCTCTCCCGGCTCGGGGAGGGGGGGTGTCCCTGTTGCTGCCCCCACTGACGTGTGTGTCCCCCCCCCAGCGGAGCAGGAGCTGGCAGAGCAGGTGCAGTTCGGGGTGGAGGGGGGCAGCGTGTTCCTGGAGTGCCAGCCCCCCTCCCCCCATGCCCAGGTCCAGTGGCTGCTGCATCCGGAGGTCGGCACCCGGCGCCCGGTGAGTGACCCCCCCCCCCCCAGCTACAGCCCCCCATTGCCCTGGGGGGGGGCATGGAGGATCTGACCCCCCCGTGTCTCTCTCTGCCCCCCAGCTGCCCCGGGAGCGGGTCGTGCTGCAGACGCCCCAGGGGGCCCTGCTGGGCCCGGTGACGCTGGCGGACGAGGGCCGGTACCAGTGCGTGGGCACCGAGAACGGCTACACCCGCCCCCTGCGCCGGCTGCTGCTACGCGTCCTGCCCCATGGCCTGCTGGGGGGCTCCCCGCCCCCCGTCTGCCAGAGCCCCTGGGGCCGGCCCCGGATCAGAGCCGAGTCGTCTCTGCAACGCGACCGGAGCTCCCCCCCCGGAACTGACTGGGGGCGCCGAGGCCTGAGGCCGGGGTGAGGGGCTCGGACCCCACCGGGGGGGGGGTCGTTTCACATTCCAAGGGGGACCCCGGAGCGAACCCCCCCGGGGAGGGGGCCGAGGGGGGGCTCTGCCTGGTGCCCGCATTTCCTTTCCATGGACATCGGCCCCGTTGTTGACTGCGGGGGGGCCCGGACGCCTGGGTTCCCCCCGGTTTGATTTGTAGAGTCTATTTTTTCACGGCTGGGGGGTTTCTAACGTGGCTGGATTTGGGTTTTTTAAAAGTAATTTATTTTTTATTTCCTGTGACCCCGTCGATGCTGTGGACGAAACCGGCTGCCAAAGATTAAAGGGGCCAACGTTTGATTTTCTAAATGTGCCCCCAGCACATGGCGAGGGGCTGGCTCGTCAATCGGGGGGGAGGGCCCCGCAGGCCCTGCCAGCCCAGCCCTGGGATCTCCCCACCCCCACCCTGGCCAGTGCCCCTCACTCCCGACCCGCAGCCCCCTGCCAGCCCAGCCCTGCCCCCCAGCCCTGCCGGTGCCCCTCAC